CCAGTGTATCCTACGAAAATTCTCCGACGTTCAAGCTGCTCAAGCAAGTGTTGAAGCCGGCCGCCATGCATCCCCCTCGTTACGAGGCACCGGCCGCATCTTCCGCGTTGAATTATGATCGCCGCGGGCGAGGGCGAAGTATGCGATGAAAATTCCGGAAATCAAAGGCGAACGGGGACAGAATGCGTTCAATGCCATCCCCGAAACCGCTCCAATTCCGCTGGTCGTTTTAAGCCGGCACAATTATACCGCAACTAGACGGCAGAGAAACAATGAGCAAAAGAGAGACGAGCGTGGGACAAGGGCTAGAGAATTCGCCTTACGTTCTGTGGAGCCGAGTTGTGTACCGTTAAATGCGTTCGTTATCGATTTCCATTCGTCCGAAACAGATGTCAAGCGACGACATCGAGCGCTGTCGGTGGCCTGTGGGACGCGCTACCGGCAACAATATCGACTATTCCTTTCGACCATAATAGGTGTCGCGGAATCACGCCGGAAGGAACAAAAGGCTTCGCGGCTCCGCGACACGTGTCCTCCCTTTTCAGCGATGGCTCACCGTTTCATCGCACGATCGTTTTCGAATTCTTGCGGCATACGGACCCTTTGCAGCCTATTGAACCCTGGGTGTAACCTTTGAATTGAAAGGAGTGTACAATTTTAAATAGGCTGACGAGGCAATTGAATATTTATGTTGAATTCTATTTGAAATCTTTCGCACGAGTCTGACACGATGTATTCGTTGACGGAAACTTGAAAATATTCTACTCGGTTTCTTTGATGTATTTAATATGTTCTACTCGGTTTTTTTGATGTATTTAAATTGTTCTACTCGGTTTCTTTGATGTATTTAAAATGTTTGTGTCTCTAGTAATCTTAACATAGAGCAGTAGGATGACGAGATATTTTGGATTTCTTGAATAGGTTTGATATGTACAAATTTATAGATAAACCAGAGTTGGGAGTTAATGGAATTTTAGGAGATTTCTTAAAATTAAGTGTTTAACGTGGTAATATTTTTTAACTATATAGCGAGAAGTAAGTTAAAAATACTTGACGTAAATAAATTAGATGGCTACTACAGTAATGCGTAAGTAAGCGAGAAATTCACTGGACCGAAAGATGTTAATATTGTTACTTTAATGTTTTATCTAAATCTCACAAGGGAAACTTATGTGAGACATTAGTGCTCAAGAAAATATTTCGCACGTATTTTTTCTTATTCGCCAACGCCCACTTCGAAGGGCTGAGAACACATGTCAAAGTGAAGGGTTCAAAGTAGATTTTTTACAATATTTCTGAAACTAGGGGGCGTAGGACAGAAATCTAAATTGTTCATTTTGAGGTGAACAGTTTGTGAAGAATACTTCTTTTCCATCCTCACAATTAGGATAAATATTTATACCAATAAATATAATATAAAATAATATATATATAATATATAATACATAATATAGAATATATAACAATAATATATTTGTATTATATTCAAAGATTTATATAAAATACCATAAATTCCAGTTCAAACTACAACTAATAGGTCTCTTTTTGGCTCCACGTTACGATTGACAACATGCGACGTTGCATGCAAATTTTACACAAAAAGTTGCGCATCACTGCCCTGCATCAACCCCCAACCCCTGGCGCGTAATTGTGACGAACAAAAGAGTAGCTGAACGCGTGAACAAACGTCGACGGACGACGAGCGCGAGGCCGACGCTAACTTGTTGCGTCCGATCGTTCAAAGACAAGCATTCGATGACGGACCATTGTGTCCGCCGCGGGCGATCAAGACACCTTAGACACTCTGTTTGTCCGTCGTCGATTGCGTCGATCAAGTTATCGAAAAACAGCAGCAAATTCGATTAACAGCAACCGCATCACAAACCGTTTAACGCGTTCCATCCCACGTGTACCATTTATATGGTTAAAATGACCGGTTTTAGTCCTTTTATTTTGCAATTATTAATATTTCCAAAGCATTCAATATCTGAAATGATTTTTTAAATAAATAGTTTCACTTGAATATAAATATAATATATATCTGAATAAAGTATAATAAATATCTGAAGGAATCCAAGAAAAATGTATTGTTACAATCATTAGCATTACATATCAACCCTGATAAATTCACGGTAGTTCTAGTGTTAAACCACTTTCAACCCCTTGCCTTACGAGTTCTTTCTGAACTGTAAACCATTTAACTACTTTGTTATCAATAATCTATTCAAAACAACAAACTTCCAGTTTTATTTTAAGGCAACGTCTGCTCTACGCTATAACCATTGATAAAAGAGGAATAACATATAATTTCCATTCAAACAAATTGACATTATTTAATTATTTCATAACATAAATTAACATATTTATGTTTCCTGTATTCTATCTGAAGTCTTCATCCACGAGTCTGACACAATAACGCAGGGGAAAGGTTTAAAATGAGCAATTCAAACGCTCCATCGACGAGGATTCAAGAAATAGAGGATACAAACAGAGGCTTCTTGAACTTATGAAGTTTACACCTGGCTACGGAAAGCGGCGAATGTTGAAAGAGAGCCGATAAACGTTCCTGAAAGCCGGAGAAAATTGTTCTTAATGAATAAGGCGGTTTTGAAGCGAGATTGCGTGCTGCAGCTAATTCAGTCAGTTTAGTGGGTCTTGTATACTAATTGAATTTGCCTCCCGCGATGTATCGTGGAGAATAATTTCGAAATTAATTTCGTGAATTTTACGTTGAATCGAGGTTACTTGAGTTTATTATAGAATTCGTATCGATTGATCTGAATTTATTATAAATTTCAATTTGTTTCTCAATTCTAAGTTATTATAGATTTCTGTTTGTTTCGATTGATATCGATCGACCTGAATGTATTATACATTTCAATTTGTTATAACTGATATCGATTCATCTGAATTTATTATAAATTTCAATTTGCTTCAACTGATATCAATTCATCTGAATTTATTATAAATTTCAATTCGCTTCAATCGATATCAGTTAATCTAAATTTATTATAAATTTCAATCTGTTGTAACCGACATAAATCGATATCGGTATTATCAATCGTCCCAAATTTCAAATAACGTGTTATCAATTCCAATTTGACCCGATTGATCTCCACTTATCACAAATTAGAATCCTCCCCGATCAATCAATTTCAATTTTATCTCGATCCATCAGAGTAATTCGCACAACGTTGCATAAGTAAGGCGAGGTCACCCTGGATTCGTAAAACTAGGATTCTTCGCTAGACGGAGCAGTAAAAAATATATCGAATGTACTTACAGCCTTCGTTCCGCAAGCAATTCTCCGCAGTGACTTTACTACCGCGGCGAACTGAGTTCAGGAAATATAAAACCGAAAAGAAAAATAAAATCCTCCGCGGCGAACTAAGATCGCAGTCGGCGGAGAACACTGACACTGCCATCGCGAGCTGAAAAATGAAAGGGAACGCCGCCGCCCTAGAAAATAATTTACCGCCCGCGATAAACAATGTCTCTGCGTTCACGTGCACCTGAAACGGAACGAGCCAGCCGAAAAATAAAAACTTTTATTCGGCAAACCCTGCAAGTATTTACTGTCCGCGTAACGGCCGCTCGTAAAGTTTCCTGAAAGAAAAGATTCGCGGCGTGCAAGATCCTACAGGACGCTTCCAAAGAAAATACTGTTTCCTAAGAATTATCTGCGGGAAGTATCAAGTCGACGATAC